TCGGGAAAACAGTTAATTACCTAGGAAAAATGTCTATGGAAATATTTGTTTACATTGTATCAAAGATTATAATCATATCTCTTATCAGGCAGATAATTGTAATTTATTACACGTATTGAAATCTGAACAGTATACCGTTATGGCTATCTTGCCTTTTGTGAGACGACTGGTTCCTCAGGTGTAGCTACTATAAATACACGTTTCATTTGTTAAAATTATACTTTTCTACATTTAAATCAATTATTTATTTCAAACATTGACAAATATCAAATGGAATTTCTTATTTTACATCTAAAAAAGTCTTCATACAATTTTACTTCCTATATAAGTATACCTACGAGAGTAGGATGATGCATATTTAAAATAAAACAGATTTTATTTATTTTATCGAATATTCGAATATATTCGAATACTTTCATTGAATATTCGAATATGAATTATTGACAAAATTGACATCCCTACTGTAAAGTAATGACAAAATTTGCCATTTTAATGTAACAGGCATGTTTCTGGCAAAGAGCACTGCTGTACATGGAATTCCTTTCATCAAGAACAAATAAGAAACATACATGAATGCAGAATACTAGCTAGTATAAGAGATTATTTTTACGCTTGTGCTGTAAGCAAATATGCTGTGAAAAGTAGGCCTTACTATGTACCCAAATTATATACAGTTTGTAAATTAACGTGCTAACGTGTAGTACCGTACCCTAATCGGTACATATAAATAATTTAAAATTCCACACATCACTCAGTTTTGTTTTGGAAATGAAAATGCAAATTAACAAGGTTTAATCATGTCTCAAGTCAAATCTGTCAATTCACTTAGTATTTATATTTCTGCAATCAAAAAAGTGAAAATTAATATGTAAACCCTAGTAGCTTAATTTTAACCGAAGTTAAAAGGATTTGAAGAATCGTCTGTATGATTCTGGTGATTTGGTCAATGCATCTTTAAAGTGTGCTGTCAGCTAAGTTGTGCCAATATCCATTTAAAAATGTCCACTACATTTCATACCTTATAATAAAGAGAATATTTTCGTATTTATCTATTTGTCAACTTTTGATGAAAAGATATTTTGATTAAAGATATGAATATTAAATATTTATCTATTACAGAAAAATTCTGCCCTGGATACAATATAACACGAATCAAATGTAACGTAAATCACTGTAACGTACTTCACAAAACAAATAATTATTTGGCCGTTATTAGAAAGTAAGTTAATGGGATCAGTGATAGTATCACATGAATGATTTGAAGTAAAAGGATACTAGGAAACTGACCGGTTAGTAAGGGCCCCGCATCTAAGAGAGCAGTTATAGGGATGAATTTATGTTGATTCGATAAAGAAGCTCTTTAGGTTTGTACTTTTAAAGAGAAAAGAAGCACATGGAGTACAAACTATGCAACAGCAAAACAATACAATAGTGATCATTGGATTAGTCTTTTGTGGCAATTTTTTTATTTCACACACGCCGGGAGCTTTAAGTATGATCAGGCATATAAACTATACATTCCATAGTCAAATTTAGTACAAGAACAAAGTCCTAGCAATTGGTATGAAACACGTCAGCCAAAATACGATCCAATGATAGGTTACATTTGTTAACAAGGTCATTAAAACGACCATGAATTTACGAAAAGCTGGCTTTAAACGAGATTGGTGAATTCCTGCAACATCAATTTATCTGTCAGTAGTCTGCCTCGGTTTAAAAATCGATCGTACTCAGATCATGCTCTTGGGTATCGAATAGTTTTGGAGACGTAAACACGATATGCAGATGATAATGGAATATTACCGCATAAGTCAGGAAAGTTGACGATGGAAAAACTGAAGTCGTCTCGTTTGTCAAACAATTTAGTTGTTAATTAGCCCTTTTCGTCTATAGTCAGTAAACCATCCAAATATGAAATACATGTCGCAGACTCTGTGGTGTCTTTTATTTCAAGTTTACTGAAAAAATATGAGATTATATCGAGTTGATATATGAATGAAAATAATTATTGTTAACTGATAAAACGTCTTCGATATGTCTGAATGTCAAGATGAAGACCCCAGCAAGTGTTTTCTTCTTCTCATGTCTTATAAAAATAAAAACCTTTAATAGTGAATGCAAATATCACCCAGGCTTGACCTTAGTTTCAGAAAAAATATCCCTTGGTTATCACACAAAGGTAAAAACTAATCTGAATGGGAGAGATAAAGATAAGTCTCTGGATTTTCTGCAGCAGACATGATGAATAATACCAGGGGATTCATTGTATTGCTCTCTCATATTTTTATTCCACGTCTACAATATGAATACTTTCAGCAATAACAAAATGAAGTTTTTAACAAACCACCTACAAAATGTATAAAAATTAACAGTGTCCTTTAATTTAACTAAGGCAGCAATAAGAATGTGATATCTTCAATGATATCTTTGTTCAATTCCATAAAATTATATTGAAATAAAATGTGTTTTTGTACTGCTCTTAAAAAAGGGATGTAGTGAGCCTCCTTAACTTCAGAATGAACATCCCTTGCAGATAACTGTGATTTTCCGCAAAAAAAAAAAAAAAAAAAAAAAAAAAAAAAAAAAAAAAGTTAATTAAGAGAATCCGAATCATTGTAGTTTTCACAGTTTACAATATTAGATTAGAAAAAGCAGAGAGAGATAACTAATGAAAATGTTCCTATAAATTAGAACTCTTCCCACCACCCCAGTTCCCAACTGGCCTCCTGATTCAGAACCAACATTGTAGCAAAATTTGTCTAGCTGCCTATTCAACCAACATACCAAATTTAAACTTAATAAGACAAAAATAAAAAATATTAAAAAACCCAGAAATTTTGTGGACGGAAGAATGACAGATGGACAGACAGACAGATTATCAAAGATCACCCGCAAATCCTTGCAGGGCCCTAATAACGTAGGCCATAAAAAGGTGGAAATTTTGAATTCTACACACCATAGTGGAATTTTAATTTTTAGCATTTGTAAAAGACAGGAAAAACATATTTTCTTACAAAATGATGTATGTTCAGCAAAGAGTTGTATAGTTTAAACATTGAAAGCATCGAAGGTTATACGGTTTCATTGCAGTGAATGGAATTTCGCAATGTAATTTACTGTACTTTTGCGACAATGAGATATTACAATTTTTTATTTAATCAACGCTTATCTGGAAACTGTTTTAATAGATTTTTTTCAAACTTTACATTTTAAATATTTATTATGCAGAAAATTGGCTAAGATTATATTGATTGAAGAAAGATCCAATTTTCTATGCATACCGTCACTTTGCGAAACGAGTTTTCTGAGATTTTCTTGATACTTTAATTCATGCTTCTAAATCGCATACGAGTATATTATATTTCATGATTGTTTTGCAGGTTAATATACCTTTATTCTTTTAAATAAAACACTCTTTTCGTGTATCAGGAAATATATGGAGATAACGAACAGTATTCAAGCTCAAAAATCCATTAAACAATACAAATTTTGGAGCAGAGAAACACGGACCTCTAAAACATCAGAGGTGGGATCAGGTGCCATGGAGGAGTGAGCATTCCTTGCCGACCGGTCACACCCGCCGTGTGCTCCTTGTCATGATCGGGAAATAACGGAAAAATCCGTCGACAATATTCCGTCGGCAATTAATAATGTATTAACAATTAATATGAAAAACGTCAGTCAGCATTGACTTAATGATAAATTGCATTTACTGACAAGGTCATTGTATCGACCATAGAACTTACGAAATGACGAGTTTAAACGAGACTGCTGATATTCTTGTTCCATCAACTTGTTTGTCAATAACTTGCCTCGTTTTGGAAATTGTTCATACGTACAGCATGCTCTTGCGTATCGAATCAACTGAGAGATATAAACCCCGTATGCAGGTGATGAAGGTATATTGCTGCACAAGTAAGGGAAGTTACGATTGAAAAGTTAAAGTCATCATGTTTATCGTAAAGCTTGGTTGTTAGATTACCATTAACGTCTTTTTTTAGTAAAATATCCAAATAGGAAACAGATGTGTCAGACTCTGTGGTATCTTTGATTTCAAGCTCAGCGGGATATATCGTATCGACATAAGAATGGAAATAACCATTGTTAATTGACAATACGTCGTCGATATATCTAAATGTCGAGTTGAAGGCCACGGTAAGTATTTTCTTCTTTTCACATATAAGATTTTGAACAAATTCTGCATCATAAGAATACAAAAATAGATCTGCTAATAATGGGGCGCAATTGGGATTTCCAATTGATTGTTGGAAGACCTGATCTCCAAAAACCATAGATATTGTCAATCAGAAACTCAAGCATCTTTTTAATATCAACTTCAGAGTACTCGTGTGTACATTCAGAATTGTTTTTAACAAAATAATTTTGCAAATGACCAGTGACAAGGTAAGTAAATTTCCAAGTTCGATTTTTATTGAAAAAGCAGCTGTCAATGATATCAAAAACCCTGGACTTTAATGTATTCGTGGGGAATGGTTGTATATGAAGTTGAAAAGTCGCAAGTTTTCAAGCATTTCAAAAAATTTTTTTTTGGTTTGTGACAAGAAAATTTATTATTGACATAACTGAGTCTGGACGATTTCCCCTCATCACGTTCTTGTGCAATGTATGAACCCTTACTTCTTCTTTTTGTTCATCTATCATTGCTTTTGTTTGTAAAGGCAAAACTTCTGCATGATTCATATGCACAATTATTTCAAACACGACTGTGTGATTTGGGTTAAAGAAAAGAGTAAAACTTCTTTCAAAAAGTTTTTCCCTGTCATATCCAAGATGAACCTTTACATACAAGGAATTGTGGTAAGCCGTTATTATCTCTGTCTTATTTAATAAATATACTAGAGATAAAATTAAAATACATTACAGTTTTCTCAATGAAACATCCTGCGGTTGCGACACCCACTTTCAGGGAACAATCCAATCTGGTATATAAGGGCATGGATTACTCAACACATAAATAGCAACATATGGAAGAAGTACACTACCGCAATAATAATTTATTTCGTAACATTTAAACAATATTGCACATTCAGCAAAATCATAAAATAATACATGATATCAAAAGTGACATATCTTGGTTATCAGGGAGATGTCTGAGGTCAGGTCCTCTGGTAGACACACAGGATTGCTCTGAAAATCACTGTATATCAATTGTCATTTAACTCTTCTGAATTCAACAGACATAAGCTCAATGTCCTTTGGAAAGGTTAATCCCTTGTTTTTGTAATGACTCTCAATTTTCTTTAGCAGAACATCCACCATAAATTGTGCATTTTTCATGATGAAATCGTGCTGGAAAAATAAAGACCGTGTTAATCTTGACTTGACAATTTATGGTCCAGTCACCTTTGCTTGGTGACTGAGTATGATAAACTGAGGTGTCCAATCCGAGACAAATCATAAATTGGTGCTACAATATTCAACTTCTGTGAAAACAATAACATGTTTAGAGCAGAACAAGACATCCTTTCAAATATTAGATAATATTGACGATTCCATTACCGATAAATGAAATGTTTGTCAATATCACAGAATTATCAAATGTTCTACTATTAGAGTATATCTTGTCGATATGTTGTAGCTCATATCAGGGCAATTCATAACAAGAAACTCTTCAAGGTATATACATCTTAATGGCCAAATTATTGTAAAACACAGAAAGTCCATTGATAAAGTCGTACAATGTATCACGAATTGTGTCAATCCAATGTACAAATGTAAAGAGAGAAACGTAACGGGTATCTGATCTTAAAATGCTGTGCTATTGCGGTATTCTGGTAAATACTACTGGATGGTAGCTCAAACATGATAATACACAATTAACTCTCTCTATAGCAAGTGATATTAGATATTGCATTCAACTAAATTGAATTACAAAATGATTTCCTTTTGCCTTCAAGCTTGTGCACCACCCTCCCTCCAATATTTTATCAATATTAATCTTGAATGAAAAAGGATAAATATTGCATCGCCTGATATTTACTCAATCTCAACTGTTCATTCATTATGGCAATCGAAAGGTCACCAGACTCGAACATTATTCAAACGATTGCTTTGTATGCTAGTGTTATAATCGGCATTACTTGTCGTCATTACCCATGTTGACGAATTTAATTAAATCGATCTCGACGCTGATGTATGGAACTGTCAAATAACGTAAATGACTGTATGGTCTAATTCCGTGTGGTACTACACCAGACCAGGTCTCTGATGAGACTTTAGCCCTACTGGTTTGTTCTTATAAGCATGGAAGTAAACATGGTACACTTTTAAAATAAATAATCATGTATCCTGATGTTTTTTATTTTAAATCAAACCAAAACTGTAAGACTTATAGGAACAGAATTTTAAAAGACATTCATCAAATTCTTTAAACAAAATTCACAGAATTATGAGCACTTAGGGTCATGTAAGTTCTACGATTTACAGACTGAAGGTGAAGAAACACTTTTGAAAAAGTGCTCATAAGAAATAAGTATGATTTAGTGGCTAATAAAGCTATTCTGAGTAGCTAAGAAAGCTTTTCCGAGTAGCTATTAAAGCTATTCCGAGTAGCTAATAAAGCTTTGTAAGTAATTTAAGCTACATAACTAAATGTAGTGATTGCACTGGACCTGTGAATATCAGTTTCATGTTGAAATTATTTTGGTTTTAAGACAACCAACAGTCTCTCAGCCTGAATGTAGAACATTGAATTCTAATCATCTTTTAACATTGAATTCTAATCAACTTTTAACATGACTAATTCCTAAAATCATGTACAAGTGAAACGCTAAGGGCTACTTCATAATTATGCAAATATTTTGTCCTAAATATTCACCATTTTTAAGTGCTGGCTGCTTGCACTTGGTACAGAAGAATTTGAAATATTCTTGGGAACAGTGAAAAAGAAAAGCAAAAGCCCTCACATTTCACTTTCTGCTAATTATCATGACAAGTAGTCAAGCTCTTTTTTTTTGAGTTACACATGCATTGTTTTCATTTCTATGAATTAAATATGCTTTAGTTTTCTTATGAAACCCATTTTTTTAGCACAATATCAAATTGAAGAATATTTAAATCCAAGCAACTTGTATGTGTCTGTTCATAATATTTCTAATAAGAAAGTTATTGATCAAGGCATAAAAGAATTTTAATCACTTTACAAACACTCTTTGCTACCATGGCAAGCATGGAAAAAGAATCTTAAACATTCCAGACCAGAACAATTCATATGATGTATGAAAAAAATGTACCCTAAAATCAGAAAAAGGACTCTCACCACTACAAGTAAAATTGGAAAACATAAAAAAAAACAAAAAAAAAACTTGATAAATTGTTTTTTTTTTTAAAAAAACAGTTGAGGAAAAGATAAACATGTATAAGAAAAGTATAAAAGAAACAGTTAAACTGAATCACAGAACATTCAGATGGTAATGAACTTTCACTCTGTCTTTTATTCACTCAAAATTATCTTAAGAAAAAAATAAAAATAAATTATAAGGAAAACCAGAAGTCTCTGATGAGACTGTAGCTCTACTGGTCTGTTTGTATAACAAAAGAAAAGTAGCACTTGGATTTGAAACATTGCAACATGCAACAATAATTAGAATTATGTATCTTAATGTAGTCTACTTCTGTGCCAAGTTATATTGAAATCAAATGAAAACTGTAGGAGGAGTAGTGTTTTGAAAGTATTTCATGGAAATTTCTATTTTTAGTAACCATGACCATTCACTCAAATAAAAAAACAGAAATACATATTATGTATCGTAGTGTATTCTAACTGTGTGCCAAATTATATTGAAATCAGACCAAAATTGTAGGAGAAGTAACGTTTAATGGGAATTTCACAAAAATTTCTATTTTAAGTAACCATGGCAACACTCTTCATCGAATTCAAAAACCAATGCAATAAATTATGTATCTTAGTATAGTCTTCTTGTATGCCTAATTATATTAGAAGTAGACTAAAACTGTAGCAGGAGTAGTCTTTTAAAGGAATTTCACAGAAATTTCTATTTTTAGTAACCATGGCAACACTGTCCATTGAATTCAAAAACCGATGCAATAAATTATGTATCTTAGTGTAGTCTACTTGTGTGCCAAGTTATATTGAAATCGGACCAAAACTGTAGGAGGAGTAGCGTTTTAAAGGAATTTCACAGAAATTTCTATTTTTAGTAACCATGGCAACACCGTCCATTGAAATCAAAAACCGATGCACTAAATTATGTATCTTAGTGTTGTCTACTTGTAAGCCAAGTTATATTGAAATCGGACCAAAACTGTAGGAGGAGTAGCGTTTTAAAGGAATTTCACAGAAATTTCTTTTTTTAGTAACCATGGCAACACCGTCCATCAAAATCAAAAACCGATGCACTAAATTATGTATCTTAGTGTAGTCTACTCGTGTGCCAAGTTATATTGAAATCGGACCAAAACTGTAGGAGGAGTAGCGTTTTAAAGGAATTTCACAGAAATTTCTATTTTTAGTAACCATGGCAACACCGTCCATCAAAATCAAAAACCGATGCACTAAATTATGTATCTTAGTGTAGTCTACTTGTGTGCCAAGTTATATTGAAATCGGACCAAAACTGTAGGAGGAGTAGCGTTTTAAAGGAATTTCACAGAAATTTTTATTTTTAGTAACCATGGCAACACCGTCCATCGAAATCAAAAACCGATGCACTAAATTATGTATCTTAGTATAGTCTACTTGTGTGCCAAGTTATATTGAAATCGGACCAAAACTGTAGGAGGAGTAGCGTTTTGAAAAATTGTTTACAGACAGACGGACAGACAGACAGACAGACAGACAGACAGACGGACGGACGACGGACACCTTACTATCGCATAAGCTCTTCTGGTCTCTGACCAGTAGAGCTAAAAATTACAAACAAAAAGCATGAAAATAACTAAAGTCATGATTATAATATATGTAAAATGAATAAGTTGAACAGAATAGATTTTCATTCAAAGATTCACATTATTGTTTTATAAAGTGATAAAAAAAATTATAAAGATTTATATGGGTTATTTCAGAAATGTAGAATTTTCAACATCATAGAAAGTTTACAATTTCTTAATATTTTTAAATTTAATGAATGCATCATTTACAACCAAAATAGGTCCAAAAATATATAAATCAGTCCAGGCATCCATATTTTTTTTTGTATCATCCGTCTTTATAATGTGAAAAAGAAAGAGATACAAGGGTTTTTTGCTAAAGAGGGAAGATGCTAACAAACAACCACTTTGGCTTGTATCAAATAAATATTATCTTAAAATCATACATAGATTTAAATAGATAAATAGTCTTGGCCCTATGCCCCTACCTCTTTACTGAATTCTTGTGATCTTAGGGAGGTTTTTATATGGTTAAGTTGTTCCTGGAATATTTCTGTTACTGCTGAGGTGATGAGGGAGTCGTGGTCTGAGGAGTACATGCTCAGCAGATCTCTGGACAAACCAAGACAAGCCTTAGAGAAGTTGATTGTGTTGACTGTTAGTGATATAAAGCAAACATCTGAAAGGACAACGTATTGTTTTCATTCACAAACTTGTACCAAGTAAAAGGACTGCAACTTTGAAAAAAAAATTGTACACAGATAAAAAGTTTTGGATGACAGACAGCTTGCAAATGAATGAGCTCTTACGAATTTTCATTGCTTGGGCTATGTCAATATTACTGTTAAATCACTTATTTTGAGGGTTCAAAGGATGATTCTCTATAAGGCCATTTTCCGGCCTACGATAAAATCACTTAAAAATGTGATTTTATGTAACTTTAATCATTGTATTTCATGATTTTGATGTTTGTTTTTCAACATCGATCACCTAAGTCGCGTGATTTAAAGATCACAAACGGCCGTCAAGTAAAGAAAAATTGAGGGTAGGTCTATTTACATCAAGTTTCTATGCATGTTTCTAGATGTAAATGATCAAAAATTGTTTATTTATGTCGGAAACATATCAGACTTAAGTAATAAGTGCAAAGATTGTTTAATTTAAGGCTAAAGATATTTTTTTATGGCAAGAATTTTGATGCATTCACATTTTGCATATTTTGAATGGAAATCTTTACAAAATGCACCTCGTATGATGTTGAAAAATGTTTAATTAGCATTTAATTCAAAGTATTATTTCATATATGATTATATTGTAATTGTGTATTGTTTCTATAGATGTGGTACCTATTTTACACATAAAATGCCCATGCAAGAAATGAGATTTCTAAGTTTCTATTGAACTATAAAAGTTGTGTATCAAATGTTTAAAGCATTGAATGAATTTTGTTTGTGATTAAATCAAAATTAAGTTGTAATTTATAAAATATAGTCTACATTTGCAAAAAGAAAAAAAAATAATAAAGAATTCATTAATTTACAAGATGAAAATATTAATGCAAGTACATGTTTATAGTCAGTACATAAAACTCAGAACGGTTGTGTTAAAAATATATATATCGACGTAAAATGAAATAACATCGTAAGAGTTGCTTTGATGCAATTTAATTACGCATCTAAAACAATATATTTAATTTAAAATGCTATCTAAACTATAATACACAAATGTAGGTATAAAAGTCGAGCCCCCCCCCCCCCTCCCACGGCACTCCATAAAATGGAGTAGATTTTCAACAGTTCCTTCCACTACGCATATCAGAAGTTTTAGTATATCCATGGGCTAACAGAGTTCTACAACATCCAAGGTACAAAATGGACCATAAGAGATGACACTCCTTTCGCACTCTTGAAACCTGAGGATTAAATTCTCTTTCCGTGCTGCGTCAAGAACTAAGGTGTTTAACACGGGTAGTGACAGTTCCTTTGCTAAGTCCTCAGCATTGAAAGTAAAAGTCATGGGTCTCTTGGATATTATCTTAAAGAAGGAGGTCCTGCCCCACGGTAGGTGTTGGTCAATACTGAAACCATGCATAAATCAAAATTGTGACACTTTACCTTAAGTGGATGATCTCTTTATCTGGGTAAAAAATTCTAAAATGACGTAAAGCAACATTCAATTGTCAATCACGTGACATTTAGGAACCCCTTTCCTCCTTGGCGTTTTATTTTCTAAGACAGAACTACTGTTCTCATAACTTATATTGATGCTACCAAAGAAGTGTGATGAATAGACTGAGTCCTCTCAACACCCAGTTAACAAAATACATGGATCCTATGTCACTCATACGGAAAAGTGTCCTTCTAAAAGGTCGAGGCGAGAATTTCCATTATGAAACCATCCCATCTGTAATTCTCTATCTATAAAAGTTACATGTGTTCCCATAGAAAAATTAAGTTTATAACACAAATAGCAAATGCATCTTCCCGCTACAACAAAAATAGCTTTTATCATTTCTAGAACTAATAACAAATATGCAGTACTCCTAAGGAAATACAAATACAAAGAAGTAGCATAGATAAACTAAACTATCCTTATCAATAATAATAATTATAATAAGTAACTTATATTCATGCCTTATAGTTTATAAAAAATTTCTTTATTTCTAGCAGATAGTTCAATGAGACTTGTCTTCACGTAATTTCATAACAACCAGTCATTTCAGTCCTTTGATTTTAGATTTTTTAAGTAAAAAGTTTACTTTTTTTGAGTAGACATGCATGGCTTATATTAATTCTTAGTAAATCAATAGAAACATGTACTCTAAGTGAAAGTTTATAATAAGAAATAATCTACATAAGCTGATATCCTTCATTGTGAGTAGTTAGCTTTTCCTGCAAATGTCGTAAAATGAAGCGAAAAGTTTTTATTTACATGTCATAACCACCTTTAACCAAGTTGATAATTTGGTAGTCACTTTTTATGTTCATAAGAAGTTTACATGCAAATTTTGGTGCTGGTTAAAGGTGGTTATGACATGTGTAGGAGTTACCTAACACACCAACCCTCTTGAGTTTTCCCATTACCCTAATGCTAATACGGACCGATAGTACCTTTACTTTGTGACCCTATATCATAACAAATACTTTTGTATCATTAACCAATCAACATTTATCATTAAATTGGAACATTAGCCTACTAACTCATGCAGTTTTTAAGGGAAAAAATACTATTTGAAAATTTGAAGTCATTGTAGGCCGCAAAACGGCCTTATGGAGAATGATCCTTTCTGTGATTTGAGGGAAAAAATATTGGTTCATGTAGATTTGATTTTGTGCTTGTTAGACAAACATGATACTATAGTTAAAAATTTAAACATTTCATGAAGGTTATGTTCATGTATTTGTGCATCTCACTATACCATGAAAAACATCGAAATTAGTCCTTCCACAAAAAAATTGTGAATTTTAAGTATGTTTAAACTAGAACTGTCCTAATGTAACCAATACCCCTGGAAAGCAACTAAAGAAAGGGAATGCTTTCTTAACTCTGCTTTCTTGTTAAATAATTATACTACAAAATTATACTACAAAATCCTGTGGCCTGAATCGTACTGATATTCAATGAGTTAAAGATATACCAACTCTGATCATGTGCAACTCTTCGTGTCAAGTTGCAGTCCTCGCAATATAAAATTAGTCATGGCCCAAAGAACTTCTCAGACTTTGATCTTATTCTAACAACTATGGCTAAATATCACCTCTTGGTCAGAACCTATCTTTATGTCTAACTCCTAATGCTCCTCCAACACAAAATTATGTCTTTAAATTTGATACATATAAACTTAGTGACTTGACCTAGCTACAATAGTTTTTATGAACTTTGTTTGGTGTCAATATTACATATTCTACTATGATTATTGCCCAGATCAAAGAAATGCCGCGGACATTATTCTCCAATAAATCAAGAACGTCATAAAAAAATTATCAGATCAGAAACACATGTCAAATCTGTACAGTTGAAATAAATATTTCACTGTATAATCTAATACTTATTTAGACCACATCGATGTGTCGTCTTTTGCAGTCTAAACATGTGTATTGCCTGAAACAGCTGATAAATATCCGTTTTTCTAACCAAGTGGGGCTGTTCTACGGACCTCCCCACAACATTTACACTCCCGTGATTTAACTGATAAATCAATGAAATAGACAACTGGTTTTGTTATTTTTCATTCATAAAAATTGATCAATATATGTTACAAGCAAATATATAAATAATTAAAGGATATTTTTAATCCAACAAAAGCTGAAATCGTCTGCATTTTATGCAATCGATTGACCCTCTGGTGTTCAATGGAACAGCGAAATTGCGACATGGTGACCTAATTCGTTTCTCTATAGAGAAAATGATCAACTGTATTTTAGAGCCGTTAGTAGAGTAGAAATATAGTCCTTGTTGTCGTGAATGATGCAGGATAACCTCCTCGGTCTCGAAATGTAGTCTGAAATATAAAAGCCTTGGCTAACGCCTCGGCTTTTATATTTCAGACAACATTTCTCGACCTCGGAGGTTATCCTGCAACATTCACGATAACGCAGACTTTATTTCTTAATCAAATGCTTTATAGATACCCTTGATTGTCCCTTGCCAACAAGTTCCAAACCATTAAACTATCACCCACCATAAAACTATGGCTTGACATCAAGTCCTGTGCTTGCTCCTCCCCATAAAACAGATTTAAATTCAAACTAATATCTATCATGTACCACTCACCGTAAATATATGGCTTTAAATCCAGCCCTGTGGATGCCACCTCCTCCACAAACTTGTTACAGTCTTTCTCATTCATGTGATTCATTGGTCTCCATTTGTCCTCCTTTGTAGCAAAATATTAATCAATGATTGAACTGTATTTAAAACCTACATGTAAACAATTTCACAAAACTGCACATACAAAAATCTTCAGCAATTCAAGAAAAATGTTCTATGAGTTTACATTTGTCTTATTAACACAGTATTTTACATAAGTACAAATAGTTTACAACCCCACTTTGAATTGTTACTTACCATTCTTATGAATTCCAAAACCACCAACAGTTTTTTTTTATCCCACTACAAACTATTACTATTAAAGCCTTTCTTTGAATTTCTTTGAGAAACTTTAAATTGTTTCTCTGAATTTCTCATTTCCCTGCTTCTGGATTTCACTCTCTTTGATTTTAAAAGCATTCCTCTATAGACAGTAATGCACATAAACATAATGTTTGTTCATGCAGTCACCTAAATGTTGATTTTCAGAAGTTCATGTACATGTTTCTCATTAAGATACATTCTTTTGATCAAAATAACTTCTCATCAGGATTTTTTTGTGATATTTTTTTTTTTATGAGAAACAAAACCTTTGGTCCTAAATTAAGAATGTGGAGTGTTAACCAAAAAACTTAGCACTGGTTCTATATGAAATACTTTTAGTTGTACACATCAGGATTTCATTTGAATTCTTTTTTAGATAAATACCTCAGAATTGTATTTGAATTATAAATTAAAGTAATATGAGCTGCGATTTTGACTTCGGAAATTTTTGTTGCAATGTTGTTATTAACTATATTTCTTTGACAGAAAAAAAGAAGTTTTGTAAACTTCAGTTGTTCACATCTGCAATGCAAGAACAATTTGTAAGCTTTGATTGAAGCAAAATTACATTTTTGTCGTCCTGTCCAATACTGATTTCTTAGATAATCGTATACATTCCATTGTACAGAAATCTTTCTTCTAAAAAATATTAATACTTTAATTTAGTCTAATTGATCATAAAGGATTAAATTACATACAGATTTATCATAATGGCACATTTTAACAGCAAAATAAAATTCTCAAAAATGCAGCTCATATTGCTTTAAGACATCTCCCACATAATATACCTCTACTACCTATTGTGGCTTAGTGCATGGGATGTTGGGTAAGAAATTTCCCTATAAATACAGGTATTTTGTTATCATTGCCAAATTCTTCAAAGAACATATATAGAAATCTCTGGGGCTCCTACTTCCTACTTATACATTTCCCTCCTACACCTATTCGTTTACTTTTTCTTCATAACATCCCTTATTGGGCTGTGAGATAGAATCATCAGTGTACTTGTCATTGCTTTAGTGTGGACCAATTAATTCCAATGACCATTTTGGTTGTATGCATATACATGTATGTATAAGCATATATGTCTTCCTAGAGAAGTTAGATACTAAAATCTCTTCTGGACAAAAACACATTGTGGCCTATTTTTTAATGCAAGATACTACAGCAAAATCTGTTATGTATCAATTTACCCCTACTTGAATTAGTACTAACCAATTCTGTGATTTTTATACCCTCTTTGAATTAGTACTAACCATTCCTCTGAATTTCACCCCTTCTATGATTTGCTCTTTGTTTTCCGTCACTGCTTTTTCGACATCAGCACTTATCATATTTTCAAAACAGAAAGAAAGGTCTAGTCCAATCATTTGTAGCTGGAATAATGAAAAAGAACCGAATATAATAACATTTATCAAATAAAAATTTTAAAAAAGCAGTTTTTAAAAGTTACATTTTGTTTCGAATACTAGCCCCAAGACCATAAACTGAGAACAGACGTAAGTCAAAATTTCAAATCCAAATAACTTTGGAAATAATTTTGATAACAGAACAAAATTTTTATCATATGTTTATACTAGAATATTATACTAACCTGCAAAATTTCAAGTACGTATGTTAAATAAAACTCAAGATATTTAAAATCAAAATTTTGACTTAAGTCTGTTCTCAGTTTATGGTCTCAAGGCCAGGTTTCATACTTAATTAACACAACTCTTTCAACATACATATAAGTATAATCATCTGTGAGACAACAAATGTAAAATAATTGTACATGTAATAATTATAACAGTACCTCTTTACAGCTCTGTCTTACAATGCAAACACAATCTGCCATGACAGTTAAGTTTGATTTCCCTCCAAAAACCTGTCTTCTGAAAGTCTCCACAAAAGACAGCAGCTCACTCTGGGACCACACCACAAATGCTAGAATGAAAGTAGATGTCTTGAAAATTTTAACAAGTATACATGTAAGAAGATTTATTTATAGAAATCAAACATTTTACTACTCCTGTTGAATGTCTAATTATTACCTGACATGCAGCCATAGTGTTCCTGGAATGCTTTGAGAAATTCCCTGCCTGTTTCCATCAGACTTGGAAAGAACACCCCGCAAAGACGACGAATGTACAGAGTGGTGGCCCCCTCAAATTTCAGCTGGCGAATGTTATACTTAATGATGGCACTCCTGTTCTTCAGGAACAATTCACAAGCCTGGATGAAAGAAATCATTTTAGTGCTTATAATGCAAGAAACACTCTTGGTTTTCTTAATTTTGTCAAAACAATTCTTGCATCTTATAACACCTCTTTTCATAGTGATGCGGCTCTATACTTCTAATCTGATTACCTGTGCAGATTTTCCAAGTCTGATTAACTGGGCCACGGCTCGCCTAGCAGCTCTTGGTCCCCCTCTCAAGGACCTCTCTGGTGACACCTGTAGTTCACTCATCAGTCCCTCTGTCAGTTGTTTAATTCTGTGGTCTATCCTTGATCTACATCATAATCATGATAAATAAATCTCCAACATTGAAATTTATGGTAACTGAAATACTTTTTAAATCCCTGTGTCCTTTTTTCTTAGTCAAATAAAGCAATGACATACCTAAATTCTTTTATGGCTGGAGCTTTAGGGCAAGTAGCTAAGTACTGGTTAACTGAGAAATAATGGAGTTTAATATTACCAACTGAACATCAATATTCATAGAAAAATTCTAATGTGTTTTGAATCTGATTTAGGCAACAGGACAACTGTGCTACATACCTCTCTCCACTAAATCTACAGCTCCTTCAAAGTCCCTCTGAGCGATACACATGTCAAGGTCTTCAGGCATTTCCTGTATCCACTCAGCACTCAGATAGTCCGCCTCAATAGCCGACTGAGACTCACTATCATCTTCTTCTAAGAAAGCTGTAATATAAAAACACTCTGACAAGAACAAAACATGGAGGAATTATTCAGAGGTACTCTTCAAACAAAGCTGTGATGCAGATATTTACTATAACATGGAAGACATACAGAAATATTCTTCAAATCTGTAATACATAAATGCAATATAAAAAGAGCATGGGAGAATTATGAGATTAGGTCTTGTGGTTCCTTCCTTGAGACACAGACAATTCTATTTATTCAGTAAAATACTGTTTGTCAATTTTTTCTTTCTTTTACATGTATTGCTTGATGATTTAGATCTGTTTTATTCCACAGCTTTGTCAGTTTTCTAACAATCATAAGCTTTTCCATTTTAAATTTGAACTGTTTTTTTTTTTTTTTTTTGTTTTGTTTTGTTTTGATTTTTTTGAAATTTTAGTCTACTGGGATAATAGTGATTGAGGCATAGCAAACTAAGGTGTACATATACAGGTACATGTATGTGTACAGTACAGGTAAGAGATACACATACTTGTTTACACATGTTACATAACTTTTCTTGTTTAGCAATTATAGCTTGTATGTGTTCTTGTAAATCTTTAAATGTGAAAATCTTATTTTCAAATAATTTCAAATTTTTATCAACTAATCCACTTAAATTTATAATGTACATAAACTATTATAATTAAATAATAAATATACTAGACGAAATCCCACTCAAGCGCGGGGAATTGAGTTCTTACCACTACTGACAGAACAATTCCATTAATATATATTATAGTTTTTACTGAGAGTTAATTACAGACTTATAGAAGAGAGAAATTCTTTGTTCAAAATCACGTAGTTAGTTTCGGAGCAAAAGTAGTTATACCCCCCCCCCCCCCCCCCCGGTCCCTTTTGTAAAAAACTTTGAAAAATAACAATTTCATTAATTGAGGTTTATTTTGACACCTGTTATACTATGTTATAAATATTGTACTTTGGGTGCCCTTATTCCATTTCCATCAAGGATAAAAGAAGCGAATATGCACATTTTACTGATAAAGACTTTGTCAGCACATTTTTTTTTTTTGGTTGTAAAAAATAGTTTTAACACCCTAGGTATAGGCCTACTATACCTAGTATTTGATACAGACTGTTTTCAGAAGACTGAGATGTATAGATTAAAGCAAAAAATTTGAAACACCTTTTGAACAATATCAAATTCCTTAATTGACATTTTCTCTTTACATGTACATGTAATAAGTTTATTACAAAATATAAACTGTGCTTCGGTTTCCTTGCCATGATGCTCTCAGTGGCGAAAATGCATATTTTACTAATAAATTTTTACTAATAAATTTTCAATGCCCAGTCACATCAAAGCTTTTTTTTTTTAATATTCATGTAGTAAGATTTTTAACATCGGGCTCGATGCCATATCATGCTCTAGAAATTTCCATCAAGGTTAAGATTGGTGAATTAGAAACACAGTTAATCAGTTAACACAACTTATTTCATTTATATCACTTAAATCAAGTTTTGATCGAATAATTCACTAATGATGTTTTATGAAATAAATAAAGCATTGCTTGTTGTCAGTTTCATTAAAAATTGCCAGTAACTTAGATCCGCCAACCGGAAACACCACCGTATACTCTCTTTTTTGCTATTTCAGGGTTGTTTATCGAAAATAAAAGTAGACTTTTAATTAAATTTACGATAATTACTATGCGAGTGAAATCTAAATATAGTTAACGGACATCACCTCATCCCTAGTGTATTCTTAGAGGAGTAAGTATGAACTCTAGTGCAGGCGTTTCGTTGTTTATTTGCAAAATTTATTAATTTATAAGTATAGATGCATATATTTATATTAAATTCTACTACAGTTATTGCCGAGATCAAAGAAATGCCGCGGACATTATTCTCCAATAAATCACGAACGTCATCAAAAAATTATCAGATCAGAAACAGATATTAAACCTGTACAGTTGAAATGAATATTTCACTGTAGAATCTAATACTTATTTATACCATATCGATGTGTCGTCTTTCGCAGTCTAAAACAGCTGTAATTGTCAGGTTTTATAGCTACGTTGGGCCGTTCCACGGACCTCCCCACAACATTTACACTCCGTGATTTTACTGACAAAGCAATGAAAAAGACAACTGATTTTGTTATTTTTTTCATTTTTGAAAATTAACCAGTATATGTTACAAACAAATTTATAAATAATTAAAGGATATAGTTCACCCAACAAAGGCTTAAATCGTCTGCATTTAATGCAAGTAATCAAACAAATTGACCCTCTGGTGTTAAATGGAACAGCGAAATCGCGACATGGTGACCTAATTCGTTTCTCTATAGAAGAAACGATCAGCCGTATTTTAGAGCTGTTAGTAGAATAGAAATAAAGTCCTTGTTGTCGTGAATGATGCAGGATAACCTCCTCGGTCTCGAAATGTTGTCTGAAATATAAAAGCCTCGGCTAACGCCTCGGCTTTTATATTTCAGACAACATTTCTCGACCTCGGAGGTTATCCTGCAACATTCACGATAACGCGGACTTTATTTCTTAATTATTTAATAAAGAGTTCTTATGATCCTGATATGTCAAAGCATGTTTTGAAAGTCAAGACTATAGTGTTATTTTTAAAACACTCGATCAAAAAAACATTTTCAATGAAAAACATTTAGTTCCTTACATAAGTATATCCACAAAGTCTTTTGGTTTTAGAAAAACACTCATATTGATTGAAATAAATAGCAAATTCAAAATTGTATGCTATAAGTTTGCAATTTCAAGTACTTATCATTCTACATGAATGTTGATATGTGTAGAATTTCGTCATTAATAGCAAAATTGGTGCATAATGCACAGATTTCCAGGAGGAATACTCTGCCTCACATTCAAGTACATAAATTATTACATATACACACTGGTTTGCTAAATCTCTCTACTAACTTCTTCATGAAGCAGATTACACAAACACGTACACATCAGTTTGGTACACCTCTCTAATAACTACTGCATGAAGCAGGTTATAAAACTTTATTAGAGAGGATAACCATATTTTTTTTTCTTAGTCACTAGTAAAACTACTACTGTCTCTGTATCATAAAGACACAGATTTAAATGACATAAAATGCAGTTTCTTATCTATTTGTCTGGAAAGTGAACCTTAATTAGGGTTAATCCAAGATTATAGGACTTTCTTGAGTAAAAAAAATTTAATGTATATTCTATGGGTTGTACATGTAAACATACGATTTTTCTCTTCTACTGCAGTGGCTGCTGCAACCTGGGCCTGCTGCTCCTGCAACATAGCCTCTTTTTTCTGTTTATCTCGAGCTGCTTTCTTCTTCTTGGATTCTTCTAAAATGTCTAACCACTGTCTCTGTAATATAAATCAAACACTTAAATGTCAAACAACTGTCTCCGTAACATAAAGACATACAGTGCTAAATGGCATAAAACAAAACAAATCTTGTCAACTGCATGCTGAATCAGAATAAATGGTATATATCATTAAAGTTTATTAAAAACATGCAGTCATCAGTTTTGTTTACCACTGATGATAAACATTTTAAGAGCAAAGCCATTAAGTACAGTATGAGTCTACTTCATGTACAAAATGTAAATGTGATATGGTTGTATTTTCTGAAGATGTAAGGAAAACCAATAAAGCTATAACCTGAAATGCCTCACAATAGAAAATTTTTATCAAGGGAATATTCATTTGAGAAAATTTATACAATCAAGTAAAAGCTCAATGATTGTTATATCTATATTATGGCACGTTAGTACAAAGTCTAGAACTGGTTATTAAGTACATGCATGTATCTTCCAACCTTAGACTTGGAGCTGTCTGCTTGGTACATTTTGGAGTCTGGAAACATCAGTATTTTGAAGGCATTTTTGTTTGGGCCAGCATCTCGTACATTGACCACAGCCAGACTGTCCAATTCATACAGGCCCTGGAATCGATATCTCACTGGACCACGTCTAGATAAAGTAACAATATTATAGTACATTATAATCAGTGCCTGTTTATTTTGTACACTAACTCTCTCTTACCTGTATGAAGATATCTCTCAAAAAAACTAAAAATGAATAACAGAAAAACATAAAAAGTTTAGAATCATTACTCTAGTTTAAAAACATTACAGTAACTGTAGTGGTAAGAACTAAGATTGCGCTGGAATACATAATAATTTATACTGTAAGTGTTCTGTTATACATCTATACCTGTACCGAATAGAAAATTTTCTCAATGAATTTCAAACAATGACTATGTTCATAATTCCAGTTATAACTCACCTATTTGGGAGCCACGATGCAATCATCAAGCTGTCATTGAGTAAAAAACAGTGAACTTTCTGCACTGCTGTAAGAGATTCTGGATCAAGTTCAACAAGGTCACCATTATGTATCAGTTGTCTGCCTGGGACTTCTGTGACACTCTACACAATGTATAATGAATGATATAAATATTTCTTATTAATGATGAACAGATTAAGCTGCATTACCATTGTAGGGATTAGAATCTTATTATCCTACAGTATACTGATTGTTAACTTCCAAACTAATAGTAATATGCCTACCATTTGAAATTGCAAATTCAATGCCTTATTGTTGATTTTTGAGTGAAAATTCAAGTTTGTTATTACCCTTTACAATACGTTTTATTTCCATTAGTGAACTCTTCAAAATTAGAGGCACGTTTGGTCATCTGTCTGGGACTGCATGGCATTCCGGATAATACAAATCATGCCAATCTCAATCCAATTTTAAATGTTAAATGTATTTGTCATTCAAATTAAAGAATAGAAGAACTAAAAGACATATGTCAGAGAGCGAGAACCCTAAATTTATCATCCATTAATAAAAAATACATTTCCGAGGCATGTGTATTGTATTAGATGTACCATACCATAAATAGATACATACGATCAACAATAGATATAAATTGATATCGTTGTCATTCCTACTCTTGATGTATATAAAGTCCACAACAATACAATATTTAATTTGCATTTTCTTAGGATTTGTTCATCGACATTCAACATACTGTTTACATGTTTATGTTACGTTTATCCCAGAAATCCTGCGAGATTTGTACATTTTCCGACTTTTTCACAAAAGAGCGCACTAAGAAGTATAACTCTTCCATAGTGGAAATAGAATGTACTCAAATTGCTTTTTATAATAGTTAATTTGTTATATAAGATTATGATAATAAGCAGGCTATTATAATAGCTGTTTTTAATTGGTCTGAAATCTACAACTGCTGTAATGCCATGCCCAAATATATTTCTACATGTATTTAAGAAAAATGAAAAATAAGCAAATATGGTAAACAAGCAATGAAAACAGCTCTAGGATAAACTGCAGTTGATATTTTTTTTTAAATTTTTGAGTGTAACAAGGGTGAAAAGGTGTATAAAAAAGAAAAAAAACACAATTTGGCAAAATGTACACTTTAACTTTATAGTTATAATTACAGAAAGAATTTACAATAAATCATGCAAAAAAGGTTTTGAGTTTTCAAAATCTATAAAATTTATGGTATTAAACAAGTCATATTGCCTATCATGCTCAACCCATGTTACATGTATAAAGTAGCTAATTGCACTATGTTATCTAGAACCTACCGAGCAGCCTTCCACCTTCTCAAGAAGGAAGGCCAGATTTTTCCTTGTTTCTTCTTCTGGATTTTCATCTTCTTCTTTCACTGTTGGTTCCTCAACAATAGCTGTTCAAGAAGAGACAATTTCAGATTGTTGATTCCACAGATATGTAGCTAGCTGCTTGCTACCTCCATTTAATAAATCTTGATATAGGGAAATGAAAATTTTCTTTATGGTAATTTGGGCAATCATCCATTTTAATTTTTATTTTGTATAATTATTTTTAATCCTTCTATGACACCATTATCAGAGGACACATTTCATAAGAATTATTGTGTAAAATGGAACCTGTGGAATACAACTTATCATAATTTCAAGTGTACTTATTATAATCATTGTTAAATCTCTAATCGATTGTCTAAAAGATGAGCTTTTCAGTCGATGATTTATTATATATCGAGCACTGTGACAACACTAGTTGCAGTTAAGTTTTATGAAAAAGAAGATTAGCCAACTTAACCCTAGTCTGTCTGACAAGCTTCTAACACTGAAGTTTAACTGTACTAATGTATTATTCTCAGAGCTCTGTACTATATTATGACTACTCTGGAACACTGTACAGTGTACGTACCTCTACTGTAGCAGTATATACATGTAAGTACATGTATGTACTCTGTAAGCTTTTTACTAATTATGACTACTCTGGAAACACTGTATTACATACCTCTGTCACTGACCAGGGACATCTCCATCATGGATGACATCAGACTCTTTTGTTCTGTCAACATGTGACTTAACTGGTACATCTCACCCTCCAAAACTAGGTATACATATGAATATTAATGATATACAAATCAAGAATTTAGCCTTTTACTCAGTCAATTTTACGTTCCCTTAATTACACTTGTAACTTACTCATTAGGTTTCAATTCATTTTGAATAATTAAAAATGTTTAGGTTAATTTTCTTTTATATTTCAGGACACAATTTGATCTCATCTAAAATACTTCTTGTGTATGTTTGTTTTGATAACCTATGGATGATCAACCATTTATGGTGCAAATGTCAAAAATATTAATCTTCAACAGATTTAAATAAATTACTTGAAATTTCTTTAGCTGTCTCAATGAACTGTGAGTAGTTTTTATACACATTTTTCTTCAGTGAGTGAGCTGTTTCATCGGCCAGAATCTGTACTTTCTGCTTCATTGTAAGCAGTTCTTCCTCTCCATTCTGTGACAACTTGCTGACAACTGAAACAATGTAACAACGAAAATCTTATTAAAAAGTTATTTCATTTTCATCAGATGTATATGATTTTCATATCGAAATTTCATTTGTACTGTTTGCAACTACATGTTTATAATCTGTGTGTATATTACTAACTATGTAACCAGCGAGGAGAAAAAATGCGACCAGACTAGTTGTACACAACCAAGGAAATTCGAAAGTATGACACACCCCATTGAATTATAATTGCATATTTCAAGTAACGTTAGGTAAACAACAATAACCTTTTTTCTTCCGAACTTACAATTGTCTGGATCAAATCCTTGACTTGATAGAACCCTGGCCAGGCCATGGCTGGGCTCAGCCAACCCTGTCATTTTGCTTTCAAAAGTTCACTGCTTCAGTTTCTGTCGCTGGTCAAACTGTAGCCTAGTAAACAAACCGTGAATGGTATTGATTCCGTGTCAATAAGCTAAAATACGAATTTTAAAACGTTCTTATTATCAGTGACGTATAACGTTACATCCCTGTTATTATACAACATTTCTATTCCATTTTTATTTACTTAATCTTCAGGATGAAACTTATAAAGAATCCGGAATTTACTGGAATCCGAGATTACCTTTTAAAATTAGTTTTCTTTCAACGTTTACAGTTATGTTATGCCGAATGCCCTGAGTGATGATGTTGATCTGATAAAAATTATCCAATGCCTGGATCAGAAGATGATAGCTCATCAAGTCTTCTAGCAAAAATCACAGATTTGTTAGACTCTAATGTAAAATTAACTCGGGTACGTTTAAAAGTGTGTGGAAAACATTAACAGTAACATGATTTATGATACACAGAAGAAAACAGTACAATCTCATGATTTAGCTGTATAGCAATTTGATCTGTATCTGTATCTGTACGTTGTAGAATCCAGTTATGGCCGGATTGATGAGTGATTTTTACATGCATTATTTTCAGAAGAGTTCAAGGTTGAATATTATCACTGCACCAAGGTGCGACTTTTTGAACATGCTGAAAAAATAACACATTTAAGAAAAAAGTGTGATAAAAAAGCTAAATCAAGCTATTCTGAATAGTTTATAAAGCTATATAGCTAAATCAAGCTATATAGCTAAATCAAGAGATTGTACTGGACCTGCTAATCTCAGTGAGATTCGTCGAGACTAAAAATTTTGGACAGAGTCTGTCCAAACTTTTAGTCTTGACAAATCTCGTTGAGATTAGAAAACAGCTTATTCAAGTTGTTGTATTAGCTATGTTGTGCATGGTGTCCCAGAATATATGATACCATTTCATGATTATGTAAAACTTAATGTAATGAATATTGAATTACAACAAATGCATTATGAATATTGAATTACAACAAATGCATCATGAACATTGCATATACTAGCTGTCCAATTTTATTCACACAATTTGCAGATTTGAAGAAATTATCAAAAGGAAAACAACAAAATGAGCTCATTTTGTATTATTATACCTCATTACAATTATTCTATGCAATGCGTTATCTGATTGGTTCTAGATAATCACGTGATAGGGCCATAAAACTTCATATTTCCCTGTCTTCGTCGTGCTTTTCATCATATTCAACCTCTTTGGAGACCTAAGTGCATTTTCCCACAAAAGTTATCATTCGTTAACGAAAACTCCCGAGATTACTAGACGTCACAATAGCCTGGTTCACGTCACAAAATTGCTGATGGATTTCAGTAACACTACGTTAAAACTGAAAGTAAATTTAACAGTTGTGTCAAATTTGAAAGTTTATGTTTATTTTTTGAAGTTTTTGCTTGTTTCGGTATAATAATTAAAACAATTTATTGCATGAATGTTCGAGAAACATGAAGATTTATTCAGCCGAGAAATATCATATTCCCCTCGGGTGAAGCCCTCGGGGAATATGATTTTTCTTGGCTGAATAAATCTTCATATTTCCCTCACTATCATGCAATAAATGTATAAAATGCTATGGTTTTTATACGCCCGTCTTTAGACGGGACGTATTATGTTATGGCGTTCATGTCCATCTGTCTGTCTGTTGGCTTTTCTCATGTCCGAAAGGTGGGTACTAGGGCTTTCATATTTCATACATATATTCCTTTTGACAAGACCTTTCTTTTGGTACCAACATCATTGACCTCCTGACCTTGACCTTTGAGTTTGACCTACATTAGTAAAAACTTTAACTTTGCCTATAACTTATGAACAATTGGTGCTAGGGCTTTCATACTTTACTTATATATTTCTTGTGACAAGACCTTTCCTTTGGTACCAAAATTTTTTACCTCATCACCTTGGAGTTTGCCCTTCTTTCGAAAAACTTTTAACATAAATTTGTCATATTTTTTGAATGATTGGTGCTAGGGCTTTCATGTTTCTCATGTGTACCAGTATTCCTTGAGTCAAGACCTATGTTTGGTACCAACTTTTTTGAACTGTTGACCTTGAAGTTTGACCTTCATTTGAAAATTTTTACCTTGGCCTTAAGCTCAGTAACTTTATGGGGGCTTCAGCATTGCACAAACACATCTTGTTTCAAACTACAGTTTTCAAATCTGCAACATTAATGTAAATAACTATAATTTTCCTCTTTATTTTCAGAATGTTTTGTATGGTATTGGTCTTGTTGGATTTATTGTTGCAGTAAAAAATTCAGGACTGGTATTATATATATATTCATTATCTTGATTTCATGGATTCTTTTCATTAAGCTCACTCGTTCTTTTACATATTGTATTTTTAGCTCTGATGGACTTATTTTATCCCCATCCACCCTGTTGTTCACATTTAATTCAGATACCCTCTCTTGTATTCTACCCATTGATTAATCACTCCCCTGAAAAGAAAATATCAAATACATACACTAATTTGCTGAAAATGAACTGTGAGAAATATGAATTTTAATTCTAGAATGAATTAAGATATCAATTGTAAATATCAATTGTGAATTGATAAGGGCCATAATGTAAATCTTATAACGTACCAATTTTGATTCACCAGATGAGCATTTTGACAAATTATGTCTCTTTTCAGCCAAAATGCCATAAGCAGTCACATTTCATAGTGACAAATTTATTTTTGATTAATAGATTTAAAGAAATATGTGAAAAGCTATGCCATGTGATATAGCAATTTATATAACCCACCTATTCAAAGGTACCTGAAATAAGGAGATCGAGCTTCTATTTTTGACTAACAAAATATTTTTAATATATTTAATATATACCCTTCACTAGCTTCTGGCAATTTTCTCTCATTACATGAAACCCAATAGTTCCATTTCTTTTTTTCCTTAAAATTTGTAATTGTTTGAGACAAAGGTATGCATGTAAATTCCGTACTGTTCATAAGCACATTAAAATGCTTAAAGTTTTAGATGATTTTCATCTTTTTCTGGAATCAATGATAATCTGACATCAATTCAGGAACATAAAACTTAAAAATAATAAATGCATAAATCATTTTTTTTTCTGGCTGAAAAGCTGAACAAGGCAACTACTGTGTATCAGTGTTCAAGAATTAAACTTTGTATACATGTACAAGAAAATTGGTCAATCAAAAGCATGCAAACACTTACTTAGCATAATAATTACCTATTTCAGTCTGCGTATTAATTGTAATTTTTTATAAAATGAGTCATTGTGTCACTTGCAGAGCAGAGCGACACTTTATCACTTAACCCTGTGTGTATCTGTCTGTCACACCTTAATTCTTGAGAACTGTAAGAGATATGGATTCAATATTTTGGTCATGTATTCCTTGGCTCTATGGCTTTTTTGAAATACCATGGTTACTAACCCTGAATCTTTCAAATTGACTTTTGACCTACTTTTCAAAATAGTTCATAATGCCAATAAACAGCATATTTTTGGACATTTTAGAGGTTAGTCTGTACTACAATCATGTATTTACATGTAGCATATGCACTGTCATAAGACGTGATGAAAAATACCAGCATTACAGTCCACTTGAGCTTTGACCTGCTTTTCTAAATTACTTCGAATGCTTAATTTATCTCATGTCTTCTGAATTTTGAGGTGCGGGGCTTCAATAATTATCATATATTACATGTTTATGAGCTCATTGTACTCTTAGACTGTATTATTGATATGCAGTTGCCAAACAAACTGAACTTTGAATACTATGGAATATACATATAAGGATCAGTGTTCCTAAAAGGATTAATAGTCCTTCAGATAAAGATGTAGACCGACAACTGCAGTAAAGACAAATTGAAATCTTTTTCTAGCTACGGATCAAATTAAACATTTATGAATAGAATACATGAATAATTAATTATATATAATGATTTCAATTTAAATAAATTATTCATTTTAGCTATGAGAGTTGAGGAATCATATTTCTATTTGATTGTCACACTTTACGATTAATGCTATTCTATCACTGTGACAGTCTTGATGCATGAACTGTAATACTTAAGTACATTGTAATACTATGTAAATAAATAGCTCACCACTCTTAGATTCATTTATATCTTTAATGATGCTATAGAAGGTGACACATGCATTCCTTGGAACACTATTGTTTTATCCTGCCACTTGCTTCATAATTAACCATGCTATTTTACTTATTAATTGTACTGTGCAGATATCAAGAAACTAGAGTGTTCCAGTGAATGCATGTGTCACTGGCTACAGCATCATTAAAAACATAAATAAAGCTACAATTAAGCTAAAGTGTGTGCATCTTTTAAAGTGTATGCTTTTCTTTTGAATTTATGAAATTGTAGTTCATGTTCAGTTAAATATTCTTGACAAGTAGGTCAAAGCCTTACAGTCAAGTGAATTGTAATGCTGGTATTTTTAAAATGTCTCAGTACAAGAAGTACACATGCTAAATATCACAGATATACCTTTCAAAGGTCAAAGAAAAATTAAATATGTACATATTTTTATTTATATATAATACATACAGTGGCGCCTCGTTTATCCGGACGCCTCTGTCCCCAACGAAAACGTTCGGATAAATGAATCGTCCGGATAATTGAATCACATCTCAAAAAGCACTCTCTAAGCATGTATATATGCACATTCTTGTTTCAAATGTGACAGCAAAGAAAAAAAAACTTTTAAATTATATTTTGGTTAATTGTTTTAAAAGCAGGAATTGATTAATAAAAAAACAAAATATTAAAATGTAATTTACACAATAAAAAAAAATGGGTGGGCAATTTTATGCCGAGACCTCCTTTTTTAATTCGCCTTCTCTTTGGCATGTGACTTCATGGGCTGAGCAAATTTTGATCTACTGTTGTTTTATTTTGCCATATATTAAAATTATTGAAGCTCATATGATATGACAGAACTGTTTAGCATCATCATTGAAGATGTTCAAATATAAACTAACCCTGTATATTCCCCGTATATTCATTACACAGGGTTACTATAAAATTAACTGGACACTGCAAGCTAACTCAAACAAAGTATTAAAAACATTCGTAAACACAAGCCATCTTCATGATAATCAATATTATTTTTTTTCTACAGACGCTAAGTTTGAATTTCGATCATTAAAAAATACCTTGAAAAACGTAATCAACTTCTGTACGTAACGCCAGTTTTATATGTAATGGACGTTTGTAAACGGTAGTACATTAAATAGAGATATTTCTTTAATTATGTACCTTTCTATACTGTCTTGTGGGAAAAAAAGCGTTTCAAATACATTTACTTTTTTTTTAGAAATGGAACATCGTATTTCAAACTAACGCAATCGACATGATAAAGAGCAAATACGAAATCGCTCGTTATTTATTGTTCATTTTATTTACAACTCTCAAAAATTCTCCTGAATTTGCCGATGTATATACAGTTAGCAATATGATTTTGAACGGATTATTATTTAATTAATGCACAGTGTCAGCTAAATTCTTTGAGCTTCATAATAAAGATAAACGTGTGATTGAATTGGGGTAAACACACGCTAATTATAGACGCTATTGTTTGTAGGTCACAGGTATAACCACCTTCAAACTGACTGCATGGCCAATGTTTTTACAACAATTAACACGAATGCAAGATAAGTGTGAAAATGTCGTTTCTTGACAAATTACCGTCCGGATAAACGAGTCATTTTTCAATGAACTATTAAGTTTTGTAGTAGAAATTGACCGTCCGGATACGGAACGCGAATTTCCGGATTAATGAGACAAAATAACGTGAAAAAAATCGGTTCCCCAAAAATATCGTCCGGATGGTGAAGCGTCCGGATAAATGGCGTCCGGATAAACGCGGCGCCACTGTATATTATTTTCATAAGTAGGTCAAAGGTCAAGGTTACAGTCATGCTATTGGTAACCAGGGTAATTTACAAAGGCCACTGTTTCAAGCAATACATGAGCAAAATATCAAGTCACTCCTAAAATTTTTCTCAAGGTATAGGGTGTGATCGATGTACAGACACCATCACACAGAGCAAAGTGATCCTTAAGTGTTGCTCTGCTCTGCAGGCAACAGAAAAATCTGTCGTTTTCACTTTAGGCACACCTCATTACCAGTAAATCAGACATTCCTGCTGAGTTCATAGCCCAGAAGGTTCGAATTCGGAGTTATGTGGAGGCAGTTGGAACAAGAGGAATTGTTCACGTGCAACATCGCCCTTTCCTGAACATTGTACCCAAAAAGTGGAGGCCTAAAAGCCATGGTGAAATATAATTCTTAAATCAATAGGGATTATTTCGGAGACCAGTCAATTCAACACAGCACATGTATTGTTAATATCCTGTAAACCCAATTTACTTTAAAATACATTATGTTTTGATTACAATTGTAATACATGTACTTGTATATTAAAATTCATTTTAATAATCTGACTGAATTTGACAAAGGAATGTACGGAAGCCAGTTGGTGCCAGGTAGAAAAAAATATTTTATCTGGCAGCCGCCAGATAAGTTTCTGGCGACTACCAAATAATTATCTGGCGGCCGCCACATAAATAACTTGCGGCCTCCAAATAAATTTCTGGCCGCCGCCAGATAAAAAGATCGGGGGGGGGGGGGGGGCAGATAACTTATCTGGCGGCTGCCAGAAATTATATGGCGGCCGCCAAATAATTTTATGGCGGTAGCCAGATCTTTTTATCTGGCGGCCGCCAGTTATTTATTTGGCGGCCGATAGATAAAATATTATTCTACCTGGTACATACTGGCTTCCTAAGGAACGCCATTGTAATCACTTTTCCTCTTCAGTTCAGTTAGAAGTAGCACTAGTGGACATCACACCACAGGGTGGTAAATGGCTCCAGGACACCATAAACCACAAGATTGTTTGGTTTCAGCCTCTCTCAGTAATAGATACTTCTGTCCAAGCAAATATTTTATTTCGCAAGGTAAAATTTAATATATCGCATTAACCAGTTTGTCACATGGTAAAATAAGCTATATGCATCATCTACGTAAATAGCAAAGTGTTTCTAATGGTAGCCAAGTGTTTCTGATCATGATCGACCAAACATTGAGTGTATTTCAAATCTATTAGATAATTACAAAGTCTTTGTCTACTTTATAGTTCTTGGAATGAACAGCAACGATATGAAAGATAACATGCCATGCTAATTGATAATGTATTGCTATAACAAGAAATATACTGTACATTGTTTACCTACTAGAAAACTGCCTTTTTCTTAATAAGTGTGCAAAAGGGAAATTATTCAATTTTCTTTTTAAACTTGAAAATTAGGAAATGGAGTTATTCCCCTTTCAATATGAATAAAATTGATCAATGCCTCAGATCTTGACCCAAATGTGGCTGTGTCTGCGAAAATGATTTGGCCATATTCATTTACTTTCAGTATTTGACAAAACAGAGTGTGAATGTGACTTTGGTGGGACAGGGAATTTGTAAGATTAAAGACTTGACCCCTGAGCAACTGAAATCCCTCTCTTCCCCTCAAGAGGAACTGCTGAAGACATTATTACATCATCAAAAGACAGCTTCAGAAAAACAAAGAGGCATGTGGAAAATTCAACAACAGAAGAAAACATGGACTGCATCTGCCATTATTAACAATATTGTGGCTTATCCAATCCACTTATGGAGGAAAATGAGAAGAAAATCCTCTAAATAGTGATACAGTACAGGAAATGTAAAGAAATATAAAATGTTGAATATGTTTTGCTATGTTTTTCTTGTTTCATGTCATGTTTTGTTTAACTTACCGGTAATTCAAATACAATTAATGCAAAACTCAGAAATTGCTTTAAAATTTTTATTACATGCAATATAGCAAATTTCACACATGTATTACTTACAATATAAAATATGCTGACTATATTCAATGCATACAATTGCAAAATGGATGCAAGATTAAATAATGCTTTCAGTCAAATGTCAAATTTTTATTTCTTCATGTAAACTTTTAAAGCAAATTAAAAAAAACGCCTTGTAAAGATTCACAAAATAAAAAAAAAAGTGCAAGAAAAATTCTTATAATGCCCTGCACAATTAAACTGTTAAATATGGGGCTAGTCTGAAAAAGGACATGGACTTGTTCTAAAACAACCTGCTTCAGTATGTAAATGAGAACAGAAATGCCTAATGACATGAAGCATGGTGGACAACCGAGTTAATTAACATTTCCCCATAGATCTAAGTAAAAGAAAGTTTTGCTTTAAAAGAAATTTCCCCCCAACCAGCTCAAGTTTCTGTTACAAACATAACCTAAAGAAGAATTTCAGTTTTTCATTGAACCTGACCCAGTGGTTAAAGATCACTGCTGTGGCAAATTGCTCATCATACTTGTATGCTTTTTCTGCCAGTAACCCTGGGGAACAGTTTTTCACCCTCGGATTTAATGCATTTTTTTAAAAAAATATATGGGTAACCACACCCAAACCCTATACCTACATTGTAAATTTGTAAACATCTAATTTGTGCAGTAAAAAAATATTAAACCTTATTCATTGAAACAATGACATTTCTATCTTTAAAAAAAAAAAGCTGGTTTTCAATATTTAATATCAGAAAAAATATAGCCACAACATTTACATTACACAAATATGTCATAAAATTAGGAGAAAAAATAAGATAATACTGCATGTTATTTTTTTTTAAAGGGATTTGGTGAATGTTTCTCGCTTAACTTCAATAAGCACATCAATTTTTCAATGATTTCATACAAGAAATTTGAACACAAAACTCATTTCTCTTTTTAAATTATATCTTGTACTAATTAATCTAGTATATTTTTTTTAAAAAAAGGCTACTAATATTTAAAGCAATTAACTTTTACATTAAATAATTACAGGTATATACTGTATATAAGGAATTGATGCATTTTTTCACTACCACTTGCAACATGCATGGTCTTAAATTATTAAAATTATTAAAATGATGCATCATGCATATTGTTCATCACACATTAACATGTAGGCAGATTTTTAGGTAAAAAGTTTGGAAGAAGAATTCAAGATTCTCCTGGACTTCCGTCGACCTTGAATTTAAGTAAAGGATGCCCAGCTAATGCTTCTCCCATTCCATCATCTTTGACTCGTTTCTGGAATAATTTGACCCTTTCCTGGTCTGCAAGGACAATAAAATAGTCCTTCTTGTGAGAATCTGTTGATTCAGGTCGTACAAGCTGTAGTATGGCATCCATATTGCAGCAGGTCATGACTTCATCAGGGTTGCTTTCAAACAAAGTGTGAAATGCACATATGTAGATAAAGGGATGCCAGAACACATAAGTGGCTGCTTCCGGTTGTATACCCTGTTGTTTCTCTGAATTCTTCATTCTTATGTATTTTTCCAAAGCTGGCATATTTTGTTCAAAGCTTTTCTTTGAAATTTCAAATTTAAGTTTTTTTACTATTCCTTTTTCTAAATCTGCGGACCTTTTATGCTCCCCTTTCAAACAGACATACATGAGACACTGGTATAACAATCCATCTGTGTCTTTTAAAGATTTAAAATGCTCCTTCAGTGTCTCTTTTATATTCTTCCTTTTAACAAACTCTGCAATCAAGTTATGATGATTTTCCAAAATATTCATTTTGAGGGGAATTCCAATTTTATTTTCCTTTTCTTTTGTCAACATGTCAAACTTCAAACTTTTGCACTTACAGCTCTTGTCCTGACAAACACCTTTCACTTTATCATTAAGATAATCTTCATATCCTTTATCTCGCAAAAAATTCACAGTATCCAAAGATATTGAATAGTGTAATAAATTATCCTCAAATTGTTCTAAATCAGAAGCATATTTTTTGTTCACATCAGATCTCATTCCTATAATAAATTTGTTTTTCTTTCCTTTATGGGCATTTGTAAGAGTATTGAATGCCAGTATGACTGCAGGTAGATCACACGGGTTATCATTCCAAAGTCCAAACCATCCATACACGAAGTAGATGGTCTTTGGATCAAATCTGACAGGGAGTTCCTGGTATTTACAGTGTTTGGTTTTCCAGCCATCATTCTTTCGAGCAAATTCATTCATGATGCTGTCTGCTGTGCTGGTTACAGCAGTACCCAGCTTCCCAGTTATAAGGAGTGAGTCATGTTTCTTCAACACTGCCATACCCTCCATGACATGGTGAGCTTTTACAACTTCCCGTCGAGAAGTTTCATTACCTTAAATAATAATTACAATAAAATTTCAAGTATGTTCATGATATTGAGGCAAACAAGATTAAGGTTGTGTCTGCAGTTAACATTACAGGACTGGCAGGGATCAAAAACCTTTACATAAAAGTATTGGAAGATATATTTGGATACATAATTTTTCCCTTCATCTTTTTTGAAGAGAATAGAAATCTGAGTGAATCAATATTATACTTACAAAATAAATGTTCATAACAAAACTCATTTTTTAATTGCCACAGAAATTATTTTGTGAAAAATGAAATCTAACAGGTACAAAATATATCCAAAAAGAGGCCCTTGGGCCTTTACAGTCACCTGAGTATAATACATCACTGTAAAGGATCCACAGAAGTATAACTTAAACTATATAAACTGAAAGATGAAGAAATGTGCCAAAAAGCAAGAGATATAGGATAATCAGGGATCAACAAAATAATTAGTACCCCATTTTTTTTCTTTTTTTCTTTTTTACTTGCCTGTACTTGCCCTTTTATGTCACTGTCACCATGTAAACTAAACAAAAAAATAGTGTTTAAGCACTTTTAGTAAACCCATCTTATTTCCTTTGACCTCTTTTGGTCTTTGAAAAACATTTAATGTACAAATATAAGGTATTTTGTCTCCTTTTTTATTTTTCCTTTATTCTTAAGTCTCCCTGATCTGTAATAACTCTGAAATATTTTTATATATTATAAAAAATCTTATATAAATCTCTTAAAGAATTGACCTTTCAATTACATTATTTACAGTGATTAATTATCATACATGAATAGCAGGGAAATACATGTAACTTCTCTCGGTAGAATACAAATTAATAGTTCTGCCCAGCACCAAAACACTTGATCGAGTGGTCTCGAATGTCACAAATGTGTTAAAAATACCTTAGCTTAGCATCCTTGATGCCCAGGAGCAGAGCAGAAGCTTTTCAAAGAAATATATAATATTATATAGAATGCATTTTCACTATACATTCAAACAGCCCCGCCCTAACACCAGAATCACTTACACATGGGTCATGAAACTCACAGTTTTGGAAGATGCACAAACACAGCCCCGCCCTAACACCAGAATCACTTAAACATGGTTCATGAAACTCACAGTTTTGGAAGTTGACATTTGCTCATCATAACTATGTAATATAGTTTATCTGCTGAATACTTAGGAGCAGAGATAGAATTGATGCATTTTCACAATATAATCAATAAAGCCCCGCCCTGACTCTGTGGCCATGAAATTAAAAAAAAATTTGGAAGAGGCACCCTTGCTAATCATAACCATGCATTAAGTTTGTTTGCTTAATACCCAGGCCTAGGACCAGAGACAATTTTCAGATTTAATGCATTTTCACTCTATATTCAACAGAGCCCTGCCCTTTTCAAAAAAACTTAACCCAGGGGTTATGAATTTCAAAATTTTGAAAGAGGATGCTTTGCCCATCACAACCATACAATTGGATTATCTATTAAATACCCTGAAGCAGAAAATATGATATTACAAATTCATGCATTTTCACCTTCTGATCTCTACATCCCTGCCTTAACACCCAGGGGCCATGAAATTAACAATTTCGGAAGATGCACCCTTGTTCATTATAACTACACACTTAGTTTGTTTGCTTAATAACAGGTGCAGTGAAGAAGACTTTCAAATAGATACAGTTGAACTTAGGTATCTCGAACACTGATATCTCGAATACCATGGATATGTCGAAGTGATTTTGAAGTCTCATGCACATACATGTATTCTTTTATGTATATTAACCTCGATATCTCGAATCTTTGGATATGTCGAAGTTTTTTCTCGGTCCCATCGAGTTCGAGATAACGAGGTTTGGCTGTGTATATATTCACTTTATATTCAACAGAACTCTACCCACCAGGGTTCCTGACCGAGGGGCACCCTTCCTCAACATAACTTTGCTCTATGTTTTTTTTTTTTTTTAATACCCAGGAACAGAGAAGTATATTTCAAAGAATTTATGCATTTTCACTATATAAACAACAGAGCCCCTGCCCCCAGTACCCCTGACCATGGGGCCACAAATTTCACAATTTAGGAAAAGGCATCCTTGCACATCATAACCATGCACTTACTTTATCTGCTTAATTCCCAGAAACAGAGAAGAAGATTGTCAAAGAATTAATACTGATACATTTTAACTATATAATCAATAGAGCCCTGTCCTGGCACCAGAAACTCTGACCCAACTGCCATAAAGTTCATAATTATTTTCTATTTTCTATTTGCATTGTATTATTTCTTATTTGTTGTATGCAATAATTTTTCATTTGTATTGTATCCAAGGGATTGTTTATTTATTTCAGTACGAAGGATTTCATGGTCAAGTTTTGGTAAATTAATCAACATTTAAGTGTAATCATAGTATAAACTCAATAGCAATTCAATTATTGATATGGAACAAATTTTAAATTGTTACCTGTAGGCATCAAAGGATGGCCTTCAACATCTTTAGGGACATAATTAAGCCCTGAAATGAAAAACAAGTGAATATTAATCTGATTCTCTAGTTTTAAGTTTTGTACTCATTTGAATGTGAAATATTTTATTCAGCAGTATCTACCATTACAGTAATGTAAATTAAGCTTTATATTTAAATTTAATTGCAAACAAGCAGGGGCCATAGCAAGAATAATTTTGTTATGTAATGAATAGTTTTTTTCTGACAATACCAGGTAAATTGTGCTTCTTAGTATTTTATACTTCTCCAAAAATGAAAATTATCCATATGTTGAGTACTTCAGTGTTTGTAATAGCTACATGTAAGTGATATTTTTATGAAGACCGAGTTTTAAAAATTGATAATTAGCTTAGGTTCAATGATGCAAGAAGTGATTGAAATGAACATTAAAATTTATTTTCAGGAATTATTATTATTACAAGTATTTTACTTACCCCTACTCCTTCGATACATGATGAAAAGAAGAAAGATACTTAGTAATAGTAAAACTAATACAGCAAAGACAATCCCTGCTACTGCCCCAGGACCAATATCCTGACCATTCTCATTCTGCCTACAAATAAATGGGTTCTGTTTCTTGTAACTGAGTATAGCAGTATCCACCACATTTTAAAAGCTTCATTTTTGGCACAATTGTGGATGTTGGCACTCATCTGGAAAATCTAGGTCAAATCCAGCATCCGAAGCAAGTGTGGGAGTGTCTATCCCTAGATGCATCATCCATGCAAGTTTGGTCCAGGTAGGGCTTATAGTTACTTGGGAATGGACCTGCTCCAAAAACTTTAACCTGGTCACTCATCTGAAAAATCTAGGTCAGATCCAGCATCTGAAGCAAGTGTGGTAGTGTCCATCCCTAGATGCATCATCCATGCAAGTTTGGTCCAGTTTCGTTGAGGTGAGCTAAAAATCTTCAAAACTCCTCTTCTCAACAGCAAATCCATGATAAATCATTTTAATGTGGAAGCATCCTCTGGTACTGTCGATTCATTTTTGTTCAAATCATGGCCCCTGTGTATAGGATGAAGCCACAAAAGGCAATCTTAAATACATATGAATACATGTATTTGGGAAAAAATCTGATGCAGAACAGTGGGGACAAAGTGACTAAGGTGAGTGTTGTGGCCCATGGGTCTCTTATTTAGTATACTTATAATCTTGAACACATAACTAAGTTGTGAACCAACTACATTTAACTCTGATGGACTGACAACATAGCTAAAGGAAAGAAGCAAGAAGCCCATTGGCCACATCACTCACCTGAGGATTTGAATAGAGAAAAACAGAAATCAGTTCAGTATCTAAACATTTAAATATATCAGTGGTCCACTCTATAAATTCCTCTCTAAAAGTTTGATTTCCTATTGTGGCCTCGTCCTACACCTGGGGTCATGATTTGAACAAACATGAATCTACACTACTTGATGATGCTTCCATATTAATATGATTAATCATGCCTTTGCTGTTCTTGAGGAGGAGATTTTTTATAGATTTTTCCTATATATTCCTATGTAAAACTTAATTGCCCATAGTAGCCCACCTTACCCCTGGGGGTCATGATTTAAACAATCTTGAATCCACGCTTTGTAATGAAGCTTTCACATAAGTTTCATCTTTTCTAGTGCAGTGGTTCTTGAGAAGATTTTGTTTTTAAAAGATGCCATTAAATTTTCACTAATTATTAATTATCTTCCCTTGAAAGAAGGCATGGCCCTTCATTTGAAAAAAAGTAATCCCCTTCATCCAAAGTAATCCCCTTCATCCAAAGATGCCTTCCGACACAACGTACCAAATTGAACAGTATACTAGGATATTCACAAAAAAAAAGATTTCTTGATGGACAGATTGACAGACAGACAGAAATAGTGATTACTATAGACACCTGTAAATCCTAGTAAGGCTCTATTTCCATATGGCAAGTAAAGCTAGTTCATGTAGCATACAAACTGAAATAAAATTCAGTTTAAATATATATATTTATATTATGTATGTCTTTAACTGCTGGACCAGTGTATACTAAGCAATTATATTTAATCATTTTCCTTTAATTTTACATTTAAAAACTTAGAAAGCATTATGCAGAACAAATTACATACTTTATTGGAGATGGTGTGTTGTCTCCAAAACAGAATGGAACTGAAAAATCAAAGATAAAAATCATTACAGTTAAACCTGGTTATCTCAAACTCAATGGGACAGAGAAAAAAACTTCGGGATATCTGAGGATTTGAGATTATATCCAGGATAAAAACTTTAAGAATAAGGGGATGGGACTTCAAAATCACTTCCACATAACCATGGCATTCAAGATATCAGTGTTTGGGATACTGAAGTTCAACTGTATTTGATAATTTAAGATACATTAAGATAAAAAAATTCACTTATCAAGGAGATGGATAAGAAATATTTCCATGAGCCTTTGAGTTTTATGCAATAACTTTATTTCAGAACAATTAGTATCATCATAGCATTTTTTTTCTTACTCAGTTACACCTTTGAAAATCTTTAAACCCTTAGCTTGGTTAGCCAAAGAAGTTTACAAATACAAAAATATGTATATGTCAAGAGGAGATTTCATATTTTGAAAATTTTAACAATTATGTAATTACTAAACAAGTGGATGCTGCATAGCATTTTTTGTCAATGTATAGCCTTGTTATTTCTGAAAAGATTAAAAATCTTAACATACAAGACATGAACACCCCCTCCTTATATACACACACATATACACATTAGTGGTCCAAAATAATCCTGCTTGACAAGGTCAAAAGGCCAAATAAAAAAATATGTGTGGTTCCGGTTACCCGACCTTCCCTATTTTATACCCCCGACCCTAAACTTTTTTTTGGCAATTTTCATATTTTTTCCAGAATTTTCCCCAATTTCCATCAATGGCTCCGGTTTAAGTTTTAGTTTCAGCAATGACGGCCCCTTGCACAACATAGTGCGAGTGTTTATTAGTGTTAAATCCAAAGCAAGCTAGCATGTAGGTGTTCCCTACCAATATTGACTAGTATATTATCACACCACATCTAAATGTCATTTGCAATGTAGTGATACATGTAAGTATTATTTAGAAAAATTAAGAAAATCATTTTATTAAAAAAAAAAACCCTTCCTACCTACCCTAATTTTTTTGGAGGTGTAACTGGAACCACACATATTTTTTTGTTTGGCCTAATTTCTACATATTTTAAAGTTCATTACATGTGGAAGATTCCATTAATATATAGATTACCATTTTACATAGCTTTGTGGTTCTTGAATTTTTTTCAGTAGATTTAAAATTATTTAAAGAATAATACATGGCAAAATCTGTATTACACCCCATATCTACCCAAGACTTTAATATCAGCCCAAGGGCCGAAGGCCAGAGGGCTGATATTGGTTGAGGGTTGATTAGAGCTGCAACGAATACCAAAAATCAATATTTGAATATTCAGGACTACTGTTCGATTCATTTTCGAATATTTGTCCATGTTATATTTAAAGTAAATCTTTCTAAAATGTTAAAATACCTACATGTAAGTATACCATTTGCAGACCAAAGAAAATTTGAAATTGATAACGATAGTTACTTGACATTAAACTGCCCATTGTTAAAGCTTTTCCTCAAAGAAAATGTAAAACAGACAATATTTTTTCGATGGTGCGGATCTCGCCCTATTTACAGTATCTAGACCTTATTTTATCACGCAAGGTTAGGTTGATGGGTTTATGTACTAAATTAGGACACTATCTTTATATGCTAAAAATAAAAATCTATGCATGGAAAATACAGAAATGTCAGTGTGATGGTAAGAATGACATAATAATGCTCTAGAAAAGTCAAAAGTGCTTAAGGGTTGATATGGGGTGTTATACAGATGTTGTCACATATTGTTGTTTTTATTGTATACTTGAAAATAGTGTCAAAAAATCACATATATTAAACTTGTAAATTAATAATTACTGAATACTAAATAATTGAATGTCTTCTGTTTCAGGGCTAGACAAATAGCATTGCCCGACGCCCGGGACAACCAATTTTGTTTGGCGGGCAAGTTATTTGATAAGTGGTACCTGCCCGCGGACAAGTGCTTCTCCAGTTAACAAAAAATCAAATGTTGTCTGTTTTATCGCTGTTGAAATGTAATGAATCACAGTAGAGCACCTGTTTTTCGCTGCTGTTCATCACTAGATCGAATACTCGGTCGGAACTCCTCTAGAATTTACCCATTCAAGTGTAGTTAAAATATACACAAGACGTAAAACATAGCAGCTATCGATTCCATGTCAAAAGAGTTGAAGAGAATTTTAGACCTTTTTAGGTATTGTAAAAAATAATGTAAAAATTCTGATTATTCATGCCGTGAATACAAACGTTTTATACTGATATTAAAATTGGAGCTGTTGACTGGCGATCACTGAAAGTCACAATCAGCATGCAGTGGTGGTTTTCACAATCAAATACTTTATAATATTTTTTGTTTTCAATTAAATAAATACACATTATTTTTGAATAAAAAAAAAAGGGAATACCTCATTAATGAATTTTGAAGAAAATAGACTGAAACTTGACTTTACCAATACCCCGAAAATACGGAAAGAAATCTGAATCTTAAATGTAAAATTTTACTACTAAAATATTGAACTGTGATCATGTATGCATATTATGCAGGATATGAATTTTTTTTTTTCAGTTGAGAAATTGTAAGTTGTAAATATAAACTTTAATTCTAATGCTTGATATTCATATGCCTTGCAATTGGAAATCATCAAATGATTTGTAGTCTTACTTTTTTCTCTGAAAGTATTTTTGGGATGTTTAAGTAATAGAGAGAAAAGTTTAAATTTATATGCACACTGCATAAGCTAAGAAATCTCCCTGGAACAAGACTTACCCCTAAATTTTAAGTGATTTTGTGTCTAGTTTGGTCCCCATGTAAGGTATCAGTTGAGAAATAATTTAATGTTCAACAATAATGCTTTAATTTTGTGTTAATTAAGAGAAAGGTGGGACAAGCATATTTTTTGGCAGGACAAGTAATTTTACGATGGTAACCTGTCCGAGGGCAAGTACTGAAAAATTCTATTTGTCTACCCCTGTGTTTCTGTTGAATTTCCTTTTCTCATTATTTTTTCCAGAGGCAATTCATTCGGCAATAAGAAATGGAACAATTATAATCATGATAATTTCAACAAATAATTATTTTGAATAACATAAAATATCTGATGAATAAAATACAATTTAAATAAACTTCATAAACAATAGAGAAAAAAGATTCCAGGTACTCTGAATGAAAAATACAGAGATGTTACAGAAAGGTTTAATAAAGGGTCGTGAAATAAAGGGTGCTGATACAGGGTGTGCAATTCAAGGCACATGTCTGTGTTCATATCAGGGATGCAAAAATGCTGTATAATATAAAAAATATATAATAAACTACAGTATTTGTTTTCTATATTATTGCATGAGATCTGCAATAGATTAATGACCCAAAGATAAAGAATGCCTGAAGATTTTTCCTTTAGATAATTTGTTCATCATCACTTTTTTCCAAGCAGATAAATCATTGTAATGACAATCAAATTTAAATCTTACATTTGTAGACTTCATCTGAGATATAGGTTGTATTGGGACATCCTGGAGTAGTAAGGTTACACCGATTCCAGTCCACAAAGTTTTTATGTGTAACAAGAGGGCAGTAACCTGAAACAAATCTCACAATTAAATCCTGAAACACTTAAATTTGTCAAACAATTTTATTTTACAGGTATTCTGCTTTCAGATTACTACAGAAACTTTATTAATAACACTTTTTAAGTTAGCTATATTTACATTAATATATGTAAGGATGAAAATGGTAAAAATAAAAGGGGGAGCAGCAACCTGTATACAGTAGTCCTTGCAATTACTACAAAAACAAAAGTTCAGCTTGTAATACACTATTCAAATGTCAATGACTTACATACAAGATTTTCACTGACCTGGATTGAGCAGGGATTTCTCGACGCACACTTCCCTCTTCTTGCCGTCCTCATCCTGGAGGCAGTGATACACACTTCGTCCCCCACAGCTGGTGGACTGTCTTGAAGCTCGCTTCTTCCATGCCGCCTCAGTGTCAGGACAAGTGTCTACAACTCCTGCATTGGAGGTAATTCCCCTGGAATTTGTTAAAAATTGAATAACAACTTATTTTTGTGATTTTTGTGATCTTCCCTTTGTTAAAATTAAGTTTATTGAGTTTTAGTTTTCTTTTTTATTTTGGGGAACAAATAGGGTATAGAAAGCTTTCTTCATTTTTTGTATACATATAATTATATATTTTAATCACCTTTGGAGTTATCTCAAATATATATATATAGCAAACTAACAATATACAAAAGCATGACTTGTAAGCTCAAGATGTTTTTTTGGAAGATGATGGTTGTAAAATCACAATGCAGTAAGTAGTCATATATAGAATACAAATGACATAGAATAAAAATACCATTTTATAAACTGGTATTTTTTCAGACAATAAGTATCAATTACATCATTAGTAAGACTGCGGTAGGATCAGTACCTAGATGATTTAAACTTGCATACATACACTTATAAGCCACCAGTCACTTACACAAGGTTGTCCCCAAGACTCCGGGGGCTGGGGAATTTCCACACCTACAGTGATGTAATTCCCTGGTTATTTTGGTATTCCCCCTAAACTCTCCATTAGGAGAGGAACCCCAAACCCTCGTCTACTTATTTAATGTCCCCTTCTATTTCAATTCTTAGGGACAACCCTGCTTACATGTACTAATTTTCTAATATTCTTATTATCTTATATCCTTTCAGCAAAAGTGACGTTGATCATGTGTGGTAGATAATGAACTCCGACAAACAAAATATGCTGGCATAATCACGGGCAAGTGAGGATCTTTCCCTATGTATAGTAGTGTGCATCCTTAAATGTATCATCAAAGCAAGTTTGGTCAACATAGGGCTTATACTTGGAAATGAGACCTGCTCCGAAAACTTTAACCTGCTCCAAGAACTTAAACCTGCTCTAAAAACATTAACCTGTCATTCTTCAGCTGAAATTGCAGCATCTGAAACCTTCACTGGTACAATGAAACATACTAGAAGCATCCTCCATGCATCTCTGATTAATATAGGGCAATTAGAAGTACTTGAAAGAAATCTGCTCTAAAAATTTTAACCTGGGACGCCGAGGGTATTACATAAGCTCCCCAACTTTTTAAAAAAAAAATTGAAAAGTTTGACCATGTGAAATTAGACAAAACTGATGATATATACACTAATGATAGACACAGAATTGTTGGGATGCTTAAAATTTTGAATTGAAATATCAAATTTGTTGTATTCAATCACTTTCATCAACTGCAGGCCTGTTGTACAACAGGGGTCAGCTATGAGGGGGGCTCCCACTGTTTTAAGAATACTGTTTTGCTGTAGATCTAGACTTGATATAATTGTAATATTGTATAGAAGCCTATCATTCAAACAACAATTCTACAGATCAATTTCATAGAAAGCTCAGCTCCATCCCGCCATGTATGAGATTGATCAACCCAATATACATGTATTTCTGAAGACAGTCAGTAACAAACCTTATAAGTAATAGTGCTTTTCTCATAAAGAATGTGAAAATACTAAGTTGGTTGCATTAGAATTGGAAGAAAAAGACACAAGCTTGATGTAGATGTATTTACTTAGCAAGTATTTAATTCCTTGTTAATTAGCTTCAATCAAAAGTAATTAAATAACTAAAATTAGATTTGAGACTTTTTGTTCGGCCACTTACCATTTACACAGATATGTGAGTATTATAATTAAAATTCCAAACAGTTCAACAGTGGATCTGGTGGCCATTTAGGCCTACCTACAAAACGAAAATAAATATTTAACAAATTTCATCACCTTTCCAGAGGCTACGTTGCCTGTATCAGAACACAAAGAACCCAGAGTCAGACAAAAAGAAGATTTACTGGTACTAACATTAGGGACTGGCAAGCTAAAATCTTTTTTTTTTTTTATTTTAAACAGATATAACGTTACGCCTATTAGTATATCCAGGCATGTTAGTTTATAAAAAGATATTGCTTTATAAACAATAAAACATTATGCCTCAGATAATAATTGATAACACGGGGAAATTATTGAATCTATGAAACAATAGAAACAACATGTTTCATGTTCATCAGTCTATGTGTGTAATTTATTCACAAGTTTCATGATGGCCGACAATAATGCGACGCTGCACTGTATCAAATTAGTAGTTGATAAAATATTTTCAATGTGCAAAGGACTTAACAGAATTAACACTTTTTATTAAAATGTACATACCTTAGTCCTCAACACCTACTTCGTCTATTTTTTTTTCTAATTCTTTCTTACGAAAATTCCATTCCTATTCCATTTCTATTGTTCATGTTTCTTAATTTAGCAGGAGGGATTCCACACTGTCTAAATTTAGATTAGTGTATGGCGTCGTGCTTCAAAATATTCATAATGTTGGCCAGAGAATATCCATGGCCGTAAGATTTATACAAGTATATGTTAATGTGGTTGTATAAAATAAATGCATATTGATGCATATTGATTAAGCACTTTATGTTTAGTTTATTTTTTGTATAAAATATGTTGTATGTGCCGCCTAAATCAAATGTATACTTGTACTTTAATGCTATAAGATAAGTTCAGATAACCAAAAGGTTATTGATTAATTACTTTATATAAAGATAGGACAAAAGATAACACTAACTGATTTATTTACAGACTCCACCAAAAAAAAAAGCAAACAAACAAACAAAAAACAAAGTTTAATTCAATTTAATTACAGCAGAGACATATGTCTCTGATTACACTCGGACACTTGTAAGATTAATCAAGTTAAAAAAAAGAACCCACAGTGAAAATATTATTTTGAACGAAAAAAACATATATTATATATCATGTATATCTACACTCAATCTCTTTTATTATTAGAATTGACTTTACATAATTGTTTACTTTGAATCACTATCAATCAAATTCTGCTATGCCTTTTAGTTTATTGTCTCCTATTATTACATAAGTATATAGTATACACAACCCCTTAGGTAGGTAATGTTAGTTACCCGGGAATGTTTACACAAACACGGTGCCTCCTCTGACACCTCAATCACAACCAATTAACGGTATTGCACACAGAGAATTGTGAGATTTTTAATTTGCATTTGAAACATTTCTGGATGTATACAGATTTACTGATCAAACCCTCAAAATTCTCATATTCACCAAATATACATTTACATATGAAACTTTAATAGTTTTATTTATTTATTTATTTATATATATATATTTTTTTTTTGGTCAATTTTTTTATTGTTCCTAATCCCTCCATTAATGGCAACATTTATTCTCATGTAAACTGAATTTTATAATTTTCTCCAAACTTATGTCAACCTATGAACGCGCTTTATTTATACAACCACAATAACATAATACCAGATTTAACATGTACAGTAATGACAAAAATAGTTATAGCTTCCCGGGGGCCTAAAGTGTTAGTCTCCTTTCCTTGTAATATCTAGCTGGGAGTAAGGACGTGCAATGAGTGAAAACTTCATATAACATATTCAGTTATATTGCAGTTACCCCCGATGTCCAGCATTATCTCCTCCCAGAAGCTCCTGAAGGAACTTGAGGCACAGATATGAAAGGAGGTGTATTTACATGTAAAAATAAATAAAACATGTACTTTGTTGTCACCGTTAGGTATCCGTACATGTTATACTATACCTGTGCAATCAAAAGCTGTTTAAGTTTTCGAAAAATAATAAAAATATTTTACAGCATTACATTTTAAATATAGCCAAAATTGTCAAATATGACCCCAAACAGCTTAACAGATTGTCATTTCCAGACGATGATATTACAAGTACAAATAAATTTTATTTAAGAATGTTTATTACCTAAGAAAAAAGGATTTGAACGATGACGCGATTGAAGCGAAAAACCGACAGAAACGCGCTTTACTCATCGTGATAAGTAAGCAAAAGATAAGGAAAACAGAAAAAAAATGCCATTTTAAAAAAGGATTTTCTTTTAATTTTGAGACGATAATTTGACTGAAGTCCGCCTATCAGCAATTGAAATACACCAATGATAAATGATATTCGTATTTTAATTTACATATAACCAATAAAATGAAATATGAAAATATGCATAACCAATCCACGCCGATAGACTCGTGCAACTTAATTCCAATTTAATCATCACTTAGTGTATGAACGACACAATCAAAGAGTAAATGAAATGTCATTTTCTCAAAAGCCATTTTCTTCTTTTTTCATAGATTAACTATGTGTAAATATGGACTACTTTTGAATATACTGTAACTTTTCAATATTGCACTATATGGTTTTTAATTGGATAGTTATTCTATCTCTATCAAATACGAGTACTTGAAATACCATTTTTAATGCTATAATAATAATTTATCTAAAATTATTAAAAGCATCTTAATAAACAACGTAATTCACTGCTAAAATTACATTAGATTTGTTCCATATGTGTGCAGAATATAATTCCTTCTTTCAATAGCTACAATATATGTTTTCTGTTCATTCGAATATTGTTCTATCAAAATTAAAACATTTCCTTTTTTTCCGTGTTGAAAATTCTCCGCCTTTTTTTTTTTTTTTTTTTTTTTTTTTTTTTTTTTGAAACGGTTTGGGGCACTTTAACTGACTTTGGATGCTTACCGATATATAAGATAAGATATGATAAGATTTATTGATACCAATTTGGGGCCCATCAGGGCATACAAGTAAAGAAAAAATACATATAAGAAGTTTAAAATTGATAGCAGCAACATGTCGATATTAAAAGAAAAAAAACTAACAAAAGAAGATATTGATGATTATAGCAGATGGGGATTCCCTATAATAAATGCTTAAAAACAGGCATTCAGAAGGTAGCTGAAGAAGTTGGATGCTGAATCAGCAATAAAGAAGTTAAGGTATTCAATCCCTAATAGCAACAGATTCAATGAAATTGAATATATAACAGATATGTAGGTGTTTAATACTCATGCAGTATATTTAGACTATATTTAGAGATAATTCCCATTTATCACTATTAGCATGTAAGGTTGGGATGTGTCCTAATTTATGACCTTGAATTTTGGTAAGGGTTATCTTCCTCTGTTTTTGATTAATAAAAAAAATCAATTTTAAAAAAATTATCTGGTAAAAAAAAGTCGTTTTCAATTGTCATTCTATTTCTAATTTTTAATGCATCTTTCCACCACCGTATTTATTGATATTCTTATTATTTGAATTTTTATTTTAAAAAATCGCTTGTCCTCATAGACTTCAATGCAATCTTTGTTAATTGGTTACTTCTTAGCTAACATTTTTGAAACTTTCTCTTGCTAAATCCTTTTCTACTGTGAAATGCTTGTACATAGGAAATATCTTTAAAATCTTCTTCTCAAGAACAACTAAGCCATTATTAGTCATATTATACAGAAGCAACCTTTGGTATTGTAGAATCAAGTTTGTTCAAATCATGGGGGCATAACAGAGGGTCAATTAAGTTTTACATAAGAAAAAAATATAGGAATCATCTTGAAAAAATCTTCTGCTCAAGATTTACAGTGTAAATATTTAGTGTTTGGTAGTTTAGTAGTAGTGCTAGTTGTTTTTGTTTCTCTATTTCCTTTGTTTTTATGACTTCTTAACTTTTTTCTTTGTCCTGAGGAAGGGACAGGTCGTCCCGAAAATTTGACAATTATTATTGCTCGTGTCGTTGGTCATTTTTAGTGCTTGATATAAATTTCAATCCGTGACCTTGTATCTACTTAGTAGATTCGACACTTAGGATATACAGTGTTGTTGGTTTTTAGTGCTTTGTACACACACACACACACACACCCTCCCTCACACACACACACACACTCTCACACACACACACACACACAAACACACACACACATATATATATATATATATATATATATATATATATATATATATATATATATATATATATATATATATATATATATATACACTTCAGGAGTTCGACATTTGATGTTTTGCTCCCCAGCATAAAAAAAAATTATCAGTATATGATTCTCTGATTTTTATTTTGGAAAATAAAGATACAAAGAACATTTTTACCAAATATAAAGATTTTTTTCAATTACAGCGGTTGTCTGTGTTTCAGATTTATATTGCTATGGTCAGGAGAGCAACGCATTTTTTTTTTAAAGATTCAAGTTATATGATGAAAAGACTTAATATATTCATGCTAAGAAATATTCTTTAATAAATAATGATCTATATATTTGAATAATTTGGTACTAAATTATTGTCAGTTTTATTATCAAAATCCTTTTTTCAATTTTATCAATTCAGATAATTGTTTTTGTATCTTCTCTGATTTTTTTCATAAATGTAAAAAATAAACAGTCTGAAAATTGTTATAAATTCAAGTAATTCCACCTCAACTTCATTGAAACAAGAGAACAAGTTCTGATGCAATTTTGCACCCACAATTCAATTTAAAGACTCTCATGCTTTTGGTCAGGAGTGCAACAAATATGTTAGAACTTTTGCCGATCAAGGAAGGAAAATATTAATATACAATAAATTATACTTTATTTCCTAAATATATATTTTAGCTTCTTTTTTTTTTGTTTTGTTTTGTTTTTGTTTTTGTTTTTTTTTTTTTTTTTTTTTTTTTTTTTTTTTTTTTTTAAACATAAATAGGGAATTTCAATTCAAGATATAAAGTCAAGTTTAAATACTTTCATGTGTTTTAATTATGAAAATTGAACTATGAATATTGCACGAATTCTTTACCACTTGATGTTGCCAACACTTTATGACTATTTGTGTTCTCTGGTTTTAATTTATCTGCAGCAAGGAGTGCACCAGAACTGTTTTATAATTATCAATAATCTTCATCTAGTCTTTATAAAAAAAAATTAAGAAAAATGTTTGATACTATTTGATGTTCAAAACATTATGTCTATCAACTAATTACAGACATATTTTCAATTCAGAGAATAGTTTTCATCACTTATCACATATTTTTAAATATAATGTGTATATATTACTCATTGCAATTTGAAGTCTCGAAAATATGAAAAACTGACCGTAAGTGATATAAAATATCAAAAGGACGAACTGATTTTCAAACTATGAATTGGTCATTGTGTTATAATTTTTAAAAGAATGTTAAATAAAATACATATCAGGTGTCAGGAGTACAACACAATAATGTAAAATAGGGTCACTTCAAAATCTAGTATTTTTTGTAAGAAAACTTGCATATCAAAATTCTTTTTTCACTTAGATTTAAAGATTTGACTTAAGGTCAGACGACACGTTCCTCAATAATACATAATT